GAATCACCCCTTTGTTCTGCATGTCCACACTGTACGTGCACTACACTCAGATATTTTGAGTGAATCGCCTCTCAGCCTTTTGGCTAAGATCAAGTGTTGAGAGGTAGAGACCACATTCATGAAAGTTTTATTACAACACATTGTTGTAGTTGTTTTATTTTATTAGTTATTGTGGTTATTTTCTTACTGTGCCTAATTTATAGATTAAACTTTATCATACATATAACTTTCCTATACATACATATGTATATGTACACAGTACATATAGGGTTTGGTACTATTCGCAGTTTCAGGCATCCACTGAAGGTCCACTGAGGGTCTTGGAACGTATCTCCCCCCACATAAGGGGGAACTATTGTACTTCCAGTTAAATGTGAGTTTCAGAAAAACAATAATTTTTAGTACCAGTAGGTCCCATGCAATATTTAGAACACACTTACACTAAAAGATGATTTGTTGACCTGAAACTGAAATGTAACTGGGAGTCCTATGTTTCATCTGCCAATACTACTTTTGGCACTAGCTTACAAGATAAAGTACGTGTTGCAACATGAAAGAACATTTAAGGGGTGGCTGAGAGAAAAATGTGCCCTGATCCCAGGAACCCCTAAATCCTCACTCTCAGCAGCTGGCACCTCCTCTGCCTCACATTTCACTACAGCAGATGTGTTAATGCTCATTACTTTCGGAGGAAAGCCACACAGAATATAAAACCCTCCTGTTTTAAACACAGGGGTGAAAATTATCAAGATAAAAATACCCTTCCCAATTTCAGGTTTAAAATAGCTATCCCACTCCAAGAAAGATGATGATGATGATGATGATAATAAAACCAGAAGAGTCAGGAAGCATTTTCTAGGAACAATTTTGGGTTTCTAGTATAATACACTGTAAAAAAAATACAACTAAGAACTACCAGACAGCTGAGAAATCTCTCTAACATGATAAAGACTGAGACAAAGCAAAAAAATTTTGGAGGAAATCCATTATTCAATAAGAACATAAAATTATCAATATCCTCAAGGATGTAAGATGCTACAACCACAAACAAAAGCAGAATCCTGTAGAACAAAAGAAAATTCTTAGAAATTAAAAATATGATAGAAGAAATGTAAAATTCTAGAGTTGCAATATAAAGGTGAGGAAAAGTACAAGAAGGCAAAAAATGAAAAACAGAAAACCTAAGTGAACCAAAGAACCATTCTAAGAGGTCTATAACAGAAACCACAGGAATTCTATGAAGAGTTAACAGAGATAAGGGTGATAGAGGGGGAAATTAACAAACAAAAAAAATCACAAGTACTTCATAGGAGTTAAGGGCATGAGTTTCCAGAATGAAATGTCCCCAGCATACAGAGAAAAACAGACCTGCACCAAAGCTATACCTTAGGAAATTTCAGAACAGAAGAGGCAAAAATATCCTATAAGCTTCCAGAGAGAAAAATCGGGGTTCTTACAAAGGACCATGAAAATACATTTTCAAATATGCAAGATGTAAATGAATTATGTCCCATGCACCCTTTCCTAGAAACTACTGAAGAAAAAACTCTACTAAAATGAGGAATCAAACCCAGAAAGGGAAAGACAGGCTATAGAAAACAAGAAAGCAACATGGTGAGTAGAAGACCCCAGAATAAAAGTATGTACCAGGAACAGTACCAGTTCTTCAGCCAGAAGGCTCTAGAATAGACTTTTTCCTTTTGAAATTGAGAAAATATATGTCTGATCATCTTTTTTTTTAAATATTCTATTTATTTATTTATTTATTTTTAAAGAGTGGGGAAGGGAGGGAAAGAAACATCACTGTGTCGTTGCCTCTCAAACGCCCCCAACTGGGGACCTGGCCTGCAACCCAGGCATGTGCTCTGACTGAGATAGAACCAGTGACCCTTTGGTTTGCAGGCCGACACTCAATCCACGAGCCACACCAGCCAGGGCTATCTGAGCATCTTAAGAGATTTAGACAAATGATGGCTGGTTTGAGGTCAAATTAATCATAAGCACATAAGCAAACAAAATAAATAAAACAAATGATTAATTCCAGCAAAAACAATTTGTTCAGGAAAGTTAATCAATTTACTACATGACTGAGCTCTGATTAGCATTTACATACTCAACAAAATTACCATATACCTAGATTGAGAAGTTAAAGGGATGGGTGTATGTTAGGAGGCAGAGAAATAAACCTAAGCTTTCATTCTCTATAATAGACAATCAGTAGAAATGACCTAAAATTGACAAATCAAGAAGAAGCTGTTGAAAAATATGGAAATAGCCCTGGCTGGTGTGGCTCAATGGGTTGAGCACAAGCCTGTGAACCAAAGAGTCGCTGGTTCAATTCTCACTCAGGCCATATGCCTGGGTTGAAGGCCAGGTTCCTGGTAGGGGTTATGCAAGAGGCAACCACACATCAATGTTTCTCTTCCTCTCTTTCTCCCTTCCTTCCCCTCTCTCTAAAAAATAAAAATAAAATTTATAAAAAGAAGTTCACAAAATAAAGAAAAATATGGAGATAATTTTTTTTAATTCAATGGAAAGTGGTTGCTTTTGAAGAAGTAAAAATGGGAGTGGTGCCCTGGCTGGGTGGCTCAGTTGGTTGGAATGTCATCCCATACACTAAAAGATTGTGGGTCCGATCCCTGGTCAGGGCACATAGTTAGGCTGTGGGTTTGATCCCCAGTTTGGGTGCATGTAAAGGAGGCAACTGATTGATATTTCTCTCCCCCTTCCTCTCTCACTAAAATCAATTTTAAAAAATGGGAGTGGAAGCAGGAAAATACTCTTTTTCATAGAATTAACTCTTTAAAATCATAACTTCCATAGATTTGATTCTTTAAACACATAACTTTTTAAAAAGATGAAAAAGAAAAATTCCAGTCATCAACTATCCATCTCAAAAAACCTTTTATAAAAATGATAATTTAATCTATAAACTTAAAAAAAAATCTGCACACCTTTAACAGTATTACATCTATCAACTAAAGAACTATTTGTGAAACCCTATTTTAAAAAGCATTTCAAAGAATTCCACACCAAAAATGTAGACAACCATAACCCATCCCCCAGATATTTCATTAGGACTTATTTGTCTAAATATTCATATTGGTGTTTATATTTGAAACAATAGTGGCTTATTATAAAAAAAAACATAGTTGTGTTTTACATGCCAGGTATGGGTAACTTTATTCAAGATTCTGACAAAAATTATCCCCAAAGTAATATAAATTTAGACACTTAAAGTCCATGTGAAATTTCGAGAAAATTTTGAATGCAGTCTGGAGTCAATAGTAAGTCAAAAACTAAACCAAATCCACAAATCATAAATACTTTTCTTCATATGTTCAGTGTATTTTCTGAAACAGGTTACTAATTTAGTTTTCCTTTCTTTAATATCGATATTTGGAATTAGTTGAATATAGTTTACATCTTTAAGTTCTAAAGTTTGTATTTATCCTGAATATCTTACTATAATTAAAAATATAAATCCAGAAGCAATAACCCTTCCTTACAGAAGAATTCCAATTAATAAATGTAGAATGAGAGAAACAGAACATCACCATTAGAACACCACAGTAGTAACTGACACAACACAAGTAAGATTTGCCAATGGATTATGAAAATAAGTGGGCAAAGGTTTAAGCAGAAACAGGACATTTGCATAGTCTCCAAGTATCTCCAGCTAATATTTAGTCATCACAAAGGAAACAATAATTTTCAGTAGAGAATCCTAGCAGACACTACTAGGTAGTGATTAAGGTTAACAACACCAGAAATACATTACAACATCAGGTGTCATAACATACTGTCACAGATTGGAGGACAGACATTACAGACATGACAACTAAATACAAGGTGGGATCCTGGATTGGATCCTGTCACAGTAAGTAAAAACAGACATTAGTGAAAAGACTAAGAAAATCTCTATTTTGTCAGCTCTCTACTTTAGTTAGGTAATAGTATTGTATCAAGGCTAATTTCATACTTTGACAAATGGTCTACAGTTATATAAGATGTTAACAGAAGGGCAAGTTGAGTGAAGAGCATACAGAAACTATTTTTACAACTCTTCAAAAGTCCCAAAATTATCTGAAAAAAAATTTAAATAACTTTAAAAAACATACACACATAATATGTATATATGTGCATAATATATATACATCAAGACAATGAAAATTGGTATCTTGGGCACTCAAATAGTCGTTTTCTCTCCTGAATTCATCATTGTCTCACTGTTTTATGTTAACTTTGCTATTTAAGGTTCTCCCCCTTCTAAATTTTGTTTCAAGTATTCTTTGAATTTTCATAGAAAAAACCTTTTTTAACATTCCCATATTAGGCCAAAAATAAAAATCCTAGAATAAAATTATCACATTATCTCATAAAATCACTCACCCCAACCATAAGACCCAGCCGTTATTTTTACTCCATTTCTTCTCATAACCAATTATGTTGGTATTGGTTTTGTATTTTTTTAATAAGGAGAGGAGATGGCTGATAGATTTATTATCACTAATAGGCCTGGCAGTCTAGAAAAGAAACATTATCATTTGCTATCTTATTAAGAAACAGCTGTTTTTCTAATAACAGACACTGTATACTAGGCACCACTTTAGATGTAAAAACTAAATTATTTACCTAAGTCTCTTCTATACGTTAGCATAGAGATAGCACAGAGGTACCCAAGCAAGCCCAGCTAAGACCCTTTCAATATCCCTTCCTTAAATCTGGCTCTAAAATGATTGTTACTAATGGTAATAAATATCTTTTAATAAAACAGGCAATATTTCCCATGCAATTTATTCTAGGGAAATAAAGATAAACATCAAATCCACTTTTAAAAGAAAAAATAATTTCCTACTCTAGCTATGGCTGATTCATTCCCTGAGCATGAATTCTATTTTACCCTCCTTGTTTTTTACTATAAACTAAGCTGAAATCTGTTTGCAGGGCTCTTGATGGTGAAACCAGTATTTTAGATGAAGAACAACATTTCCAAATAGTTGTATTTATTACTTTTACAGTTAATTATTTCTACCCACTGTGGCATTTAATTTTTCATCTGTTACCTATGCTCCATATGCTCCATATGAAAGCAGCACTAGTGAAAAGATAATTAAAGGGGGGGGAGGCAAATTTTAAAGTAAATCTTTATCCAAATACGATAAAAAAGCAAAAAAGAAAAATGGCCACAAGCATTTGCATTCCTATGCCCATGTTATTTTCAAATTGCCTTCTGCTATTAACATGAAAAGTAGAAGTGGTGAAACTCCAACCTAATGATCTATACAAAAAAGGAGACAATTTACCTCAGGAACTCATTATGCATTGCAATATATTCAAGTGGTGAAAAGATAGAAATTCATTCAGAAATGCCATACTATCTGGCTGTCAATATAGTCTCTTGAATAATTACATTAAACATATTACTACAAAATGTACCAAGAAGTAGAGAATAATACTATATTTGTAAACTGCAAATAACAAAACAAAACAGAGGTCCAACAAAGCTCAAGTCCAAGCTGTAATTACACGACGTGTATGTTGAAAGCAGTCAAAATGTACAAAAATGTGACAAATAATCCATATGTTTTAAAAAACAGAGCCTGTTTGTCTCAGATTATATCCAGTCTCATCTGGTAGATTTCTGATAAGCCTTTTACATAAAGTGTATTTCCCTCCCGCTGATAAGAAGCAACTTGTAGATATCCATACATTTCTTAAAGAGTAAGTCTACTTGGCAATATTGGTAACTCCACTGTTTCCTATTACATTCATTGGTCTAAAAACTGAAAACAACTCATAACAAAAATGTTTTCCCAAATCCTTTACCAGTTTTTCAAGTTTCAAATCAAAGGAAAGCTGGAATGCATTGCTTCTTGTCATCAACAGGCATTTCAAAAAAAGGGTAATTAACCAAAATCAAGAGTTTTGGTCAAGTTAGTAACAGGTTTCCCCTTTTTTCTAAATCCTTTCATAATCCTTTTTTTTCCAATTTTTCCAGTATGGCCTGGATTTTACAAACAGCCTCTTTCCTGGCCTGTCGGACAGAGTCCTGGCCCCCAGTTTCAACTGAATCCAGTTCCAAAAGTTCCTTGGTTAGCATCTCTTCCAGAAGCCAGTATGCTTTGTCTGTCTTTTTTCCTACGAACTCTTCTACTTCTTGCTCAAGATACTGGACCTTCTCCAGCACGTGTATGATTTTTTTAATACTTGGGGGAGTACCTTCATCTGAAGGTAAACACTCTTCAGGAAGATTATTACTTTGCTCTTGATTGCTGGCATGTTCGTTGGTAGCATTACCATACAGCTGAGGCTCAGCACTATATTGGACTTGGGAATCCAAAAGATCTGAATTATCACTGTTCATTGTTCCCGGGGACTCGTACTGATGGACATTGCAAGGAAAGTTGTGCTGGTTCATGCTTTGATCTGATTGGCTATAGGGGTATGAGGAATCCTTGGGGTGGGAAAGCAAAAAGGGAAAAAACTGTTTCAATGGTAATCCATCAACATCAGATTTGTTAGACCACATCTTTCACCTTCATACATGAAAAGATTCCCCACCAATAAAACTGCACCTCCTTCATTAATGCTTTGAGAAAAACACAGCCTCAAAAAGAAAAAGGGAGTGCCCTGTCAGTAAAAGGCAAAGATTTCCTGAGCATAATGGCTGGAATCTGCCATCCATCCAAAAGGCAGGACATCACTATGAACACCTCATAATCTACCCTTACTACCTCACAATCCTCTAAGTGACTTAATAAATAGAAATTAGATAGTTTTCCCCATAAAGAGTTAAAATCTTAAGACAGATCTTAGAAAGGAACCTAGTCACAAGCAAATGATGTTCCAGTCTTTGGTTTAATAAAACCACACAATTTCATACTGGTTTTGTCTTCTGTCTACAGACTGAGCTAATAAAATGCAACCTTTGATTCTGTTTAACATTCAGTTAGTATTACAACAACAGTAAATAAGCATTTTGGGAGGGGGGCTCTTTTGGAAGGAGGATATGAACCTTAAACTGCTCTAAAACATAGTCTTTTTTTTTTTTTTAAGGAAACTGGGCTAGGTAAAGCTATAGGTAGGAATAACCAACTTTTTGCAGTTAGTCCCGACTTAACACAGACCACTGCATAAAAGTTTCATGTTGTGCTTTCTTAACTACCCAAACATCAAAAGAACAACATTTAGGTCTCCTACCTTTGGCTGCTGGGGTGGTGGTGAAGTGGGTGGCTGAGGAGAGCCAGTGCTAGGCCATGCTGAAGTACTTTCACTCATATAGAGATTCCCAGGTGGTGCTGAGGGCGCAGCTGAAGGCCAGGGGTAACGGGTTCCCATTCCGTAAGCACCATGAGAAGCCCATGAGTCCTCTTGTGGTCTTACAGATGGTCCTGCTTGTGGCACACTACGATTACCATCCCCATAAGGATAATGGGGCAGGGCCATTCCAGGGTTCTATATTGAAAGAAGGACAGATGCTGGTCATTGCTTTAAAAAAACAACAACATTAAAGTAATGGAAATATTCTAGTATTAACAGATTCTGAGATGCTCTATCTCTCCTTAACAAAACATATTTTGACCACTACTGGGCTAAATTTTAGCATCTTGGATCAGCTATAGTAATTGCTCCAAGCCTTAAAAAGCTTGGTTCCAAAAATACCAGAGGCAGATTTGCTGATAATCAAACTCAGGAAAAATAGGGTCTAAAATTCAATGGCTGAAGCACAACGTAAGTCCACCCCATACATACTATAAATAAGTAGTAGACTCATATAAGTAAGCAGAAACAAAGACATATTTGTGGAAAAAGGGGTCACATACTAATTAAACCTGACAAGCTAAGGGGAAGCTTGCACGGTGGACCTTACAAACTCAGAGACCTAAAGAAAGCACACAGGATGACCTGAAATTAAAACTCTCTAACTAAAAGCGAGTTATGGTGGGTAGTCCTGTCCTAGGCCAGTAACTAAGCCTATCTATTGTCTTTTTTGCATCTATAATAACATACCTTTGGAATGTCAGAGTAATTCCCTTTGTCACACCCATCAGGGCACAACCTCCCACCAGAGGACAAGACCACAGAACCTCTCGTTGTTATCTTGTTCTCCCGCATACCATCTCTATCTGCTGTAAATTTTGTTAACTATCCTATACCCACCAATGTCAAAGAAGTATCTATCCGTTTTACTTTTTATCCAGTCTCAGAGATGTCCAAACTTTGCTTTCTCCTGTCCCCTAATGTACCACTAATGGATTTCATGTAACTTCCTTATGTCTCCTCCTTTGGTTGTAATGTATAATTTAAGGTGTAAAACTGCCTTTCTCTGAAGCATTTTCACAATCTGCTGAGGTTGTGCTTCTTGACAATAGTTGTTAGTTTGGCTCAAATAAACTAAAAAATTCTGCATAGATTTGAATGTTTCTTATGTCAACATATTAGAACTCTTGAACAGAGAAATGAACATGGCATCGTTCATAAAACATTAAAAAATATAAACCCAACAGAAAAATGCTCACCTGTGAAGCAGGGTACCCTGGAACCTGCCCCCTAAGAGGAGGTGCTTCAGCCTGGCAGTCCTGCTGGGGATACATCCAACGAGAGACTGGGGTTGGGCTGTTGCCAGGTGAGCGGTAGGTGCTTGGAACCTCTGTGGAGTAACTGGTCTGAGAGTATCCAGGTGTGTAATAAGCCCCAGAGTATGAGGCAGTATTTGCCCCTGGGCCAGTGGGGTATGGTGGGCCATATGCTCCATTAGTGTAAGAATTCAAACTCTATAAAAACCAGAGTTGAGAGAAAAAAAAAAAAAAAGAGACACGTGAAAGAATTGAAATGCTCTGATTTAATGCCCAACTTTGAAAACTTTGGGAAAAGATCAGTAAGTAATGAAAATATGAACTACTAAGCAATCTTGGAAGCATTCTTTCTTTCATATAATCACATACCACATATTAAACTCAGATGATCGCTGTAGAGTCTGTGTCCTAACAATGGGAGAGTAATTGTGATGAGATGCCTCAGAGCAGTGCTTCTGTTCCAAACACTTCCATAAGTATACCTAACAATTAGACCTAACAGTAGAGAACTTAAATTCATAAACTGGTGAGAGGATTCTGGGAAATGTGGGAGAATGGCTATGGAAAGCAGAAAATAATCATGATACAACAGAAAGAAAAAAAGACTACAGAGACATACCTAGCTCTCCCAGAGGCTCTGTATATATAAGTTCATAAACTTATCTTGAAGGGTTATTGTTAAAATTAAATGAGATGACATATACAAAATGCTTAACATAGTATCTGGCATGTAGTATGGTCAATAAATAGTAATTATAATATCATTGCTGTTGGTATCATTATGGCAAGGTCAAGAAATGAACCCAGATTTGACTCCAGAATTCATGTTCTTTGTACTATTCCACTGTGCTTCCTGATAATAGCAGCAGATCAGAGACAAACAACTCTTTTTTGTGTGTGTTTTAAATCACCTATCCAGACTATTACTGACACCCAGAATCCTGAGTTTAGTGATCCAAACAAGATTAAATCTAAACTCTAAATTTAAATTATTACCTTAATGTTTTCTATTAATTTCCACTTTACCTTTTTAAATTGGTTAAAACATAGAATCAAGTTTTCCATCGTTCTCAGTAAGACTATATAATCTTTCCCAATTTAAATAAAATAAGAATCCTGTGATATTATCTAGACTTACCATGGTGATCATTTAACAATGTACACAAATATCAAATTGTTATTATGTTTACAGCTCAAATTTTAGTTATTCCTCAATAATAAAGTAATTCTGACATTTTTTTTAAGATGTCATTGATTTACTTATAGAGAGAGGGGAAGGGAGGGGGAAAGGGAGAGAAAACATCAAAGTGCTGGAAAAGTATCAATTGGTTGCTGCTCAAATGCCCCCAGCCAGGAATCTGGCTGCAACCCAGGCCTCTGCCCTGACCAGGAACGGGCCAGCAACCCCTCAGTTTGTGGGGTGACACCCAAGCCCCTGAGCCACACCAATCAGGGCAAGAATTTTGATATCTTAAACTGCTATTAATAACTGTAGAAAATGAAATCCACATCTGATTCCTAATCTAACATAAAATAGTACCATAAATTAATGTGGGACAGACGTCACAATACTGTGGAAAATCTTAAATTCTTAGTCACACTTTTATGGAAAGAGGACAAAAGATAAAAGACAAGCTATCACCACCACATGGCCCTCCCTAGAGTGGTTCAAACGAAGATCCCAGCAATCATTCCCTGCATAGGACAACGAACCGCCCTCTGTTAAAGCCAACAGGGAGACTGTTAAGGTCTTCTTCCCATGGGTTGCTGTGCTGAAACAAAGAACCCCTTAATACAACATACACAGTTGGAGACTAAATAAAACATCATGTGACTTTCTGTACTGTTATTTAACTTCTAGAAATCTTTCCTAAGGAAATGATTCAACTGGAGAAAAAGTTATAGGCATAAATTTGTTCATCACAGCATTATTTAAAATCAAAATTGCAAACAATTTAAATATCCTGTAACAATGGAACAATTAAGTAGACAATGGCCTATTCATTGAGGGAATTTTATTCTGCTTTAAAAATTCACTGTCAGAACTGACCAGATTATTTAATTTTGTTAAAAAATTACTTTTAGTCTTTTTCTTCAAGTTTTAATAATGGCATTGTGGTAATTTTTTTTAAAACTTCCTTACAGTTTAAAGACATATATGCATTTACAAGTGAAATACTAGGATGTCTAGAATTTTCTTCAAAATACTCCAAGGATATAGATGAAAGAAGATGGCCACCTACTGATACTTGTTGAAGCTGAGAGATGGGTACATGGGAGATTAACACTGAAAGTAGATGTAAGTCACATAAAAAAAAGTGTATGAACAGTAAGTTTAAAGCTACGTAAAGATGATAGGGAAAAGTCTGAAAATAAGTCTACCAAAATATAGATATATTTGCCCTGGCCAGGTGATGTAGTTGGTCGGAACATCATCCTATACACCAAGAAAAGTTGTGGGTACAATTCCCAGTCAGGGCACACACCTAGGTTGTGGGTTCAATTGTTGGGAACCACCCTGCCTGGTTTCAGAAGCTGTAACCCCCCATGGCCAAGGCTGAGTAAAAAGGCCTTAGGGACATAAGCCGCTAAGGAGACAAAAACTTATCCCCTCTCTCATATCCCCCTGCTTGGCCTGGGCGGATGACTGCTTAGCCAATGACAGGAAAGATTCCTCAAAGGAGGAACCACCTAACAGACACAGTCCCCAAGGGGCCATCAGAGAAGGATTTAGGGGATTATGGAGGAGTGACAAAAGACCTCACCCCTCAGCTTTGTCATAGCCTGAGTCCTCATTTGATCTGTAAAGTCTCCTACAAATATCAAATCATTTCTTGGCTGCCCGCATTCCCTGCCTGATTCAGGCCTGAAACAATGCTGAAGGCGGGTGCAGCCTGTGCAGGAATGGGTGGTTCCCAGTGGTGGGAGGGGCAGGGGACTATCAGATCTGAGAGACAATGCATAAAATCCTGTGAAACCTGCTTTGCTAAGAAAGCCCTCAATTTAAATGTTAAGGGTCCAAGCACAAAATTAGTTTGTTTCCCAAAGTTTTATGGCCCTTGGGTGTCTGTCACTCTATCTATCTGGCCCTGACTCAGAATAAGCCCTTATACTTCTTTGAAAATTATCCATGCAAACTAAACCCAATAAAAGCCCAGGGAAAGAGGTGCTGGAGGCCCTGCTCCTCTGAGAGATTGGCCAGCCTTTCTACCCAAGCAGATCATGCCTTGGTAGAAGTATTCTCAACCATGGTGGCCAGAAGAGCTCTGCTGGACGGAGTTCCCCCACAGTCAGTCCCTGGTGGGATTGAGTACAGGAGGCAACCAATCGATGGTTCTCTCCCATCAATGGTTTCCCTTTCTTTCCCTTCTTCTCTCTCTAAAATCAGTAATAAAAAATATCCTCAGGTGAGGATTTTTAAAAAATGGATATATTAGTGTAAGGAAAATAATTTTTCTCCTACACTTTTAAGTTTTTTTGGCTGGACTAATAATCGATCTAACATGAGACTGAGCAACAGAAAAAAAATGACCAATTTTATTACATATGAACATTCAAGGGTTCCATAAGAATATGCAATCCAAGGTCACACTGGGCAGTTCAGGCTTATATGCCATTCTGGACTAAGAAGAGGGAAAAATGAGTCCAGTGTTTCAAAGGGAAAGTAGGTAATTCATATGTACATGAGAAAGAGCAAACGTTTGGTAAATTCTTTCTACCAAGGTGGACAAAGACTGCAAAAAGATCCTTGAACATAAAGCCAAATCTCACCAAGTAAAAAAGGAAAAGGGCAAACACAAGGAAGAAACAAACAAAAAGATACAGGAATAAAGCAATCTTACATACAACTTTCATTAAAAACTTAAAGTGAAAAAACCCCACAAAAATAAATAAAATAAATAATAAAATACATATTTGACATAAGAAGTCAAATTTTCTGCCCTGACAAGTGTGGTTCAGTTGGTTGGGCACCATCCCGAAAAGCTAAAGGTGGCTGGTTGGGTTCCCAGTCAGGGCACATGCCTGGGTGGCAGGCTGAATCCCAGGTCTGGGCATGTGCAAGAGGCAGGTGATTGATGTTTCTCTAGATGTGTCTTTCCCTCTCTTTCTCCCTCCCTTCCCCTCTACCTAAAAATAAATAAATAAATAAATAAAATCTTTAAAAAAATTAAAGTCAAATTTTCTTATACCAATAGCAAAAGATATCAAACTAAAAAGCATACGCAGAGCAAAGGAAACCATCGACAACATGAAAACACAACCTACTGAATCAGATAAAATGTTTGCAAATTCTATTTCTGATAAGGGGTTAATTTCCAAAATATTTAAAGAACTCATATAACTCAATAGTAAAAAAAATCCGATTTTAAAATGGCAGAAGATCTGAATAGATATTTTTCAAAGAAGACATACAGACAGCCAGCAGGTGCATGAAAGGGTCATAACATCACTAATTATCAGTGAAGTGTATCAAAAACCACAAAGAAATGGAATCAGGCCCTCAGGGTGGAAGGCCAGGCTCTGTAGTGCTGGCAGAGGGGCAGCACCCTACAGCCTGCCTTGGACCCCTTTAAATCCTCCCTCACTAGACTGACCAGAAGGTCAGGTGAGCCTGACAGCAGCTGCTTGGGTTGGGGCACAGGTTGCTCTTGGAATCCTGCCCAGTGTGGTGACAGAAGCTATAAGCACATCTTACCCTGTACAAAATGAATTAAATGTCAAGGTCTAAACAAAAATAATTTTTTAAACCGCAATAGGGTATCACTCTACATCTACTAGAATGACTATTATCAAAAAAGACAAGAAATAATAAGTGTTGGTATGGATATAGATAAAAGGGAACCCTTCTGCACTGATGGTGGGAATATAAATTGGTTCAGCAACTACAAAAAACAGTATGGTGGTTCCTCAAAACATTAAAAATAGAACTACCATATGACCCCTGCAATCCCACATGTAAGCATACATCCATAGGATACAAAAACATTAACTCAAAAAGGTATCTGCACCCCTATGTTCACTGAAGCATTATTTACCAAGAATGGAAACAACCTAAATGGCCATATATGGATCAACAGATAAAGACAATGTGGTATATGTATACAATGGAATATCATTCAGTCATAAAAATAGAAGGAAATCTTGCCAATTGGAACAACATGGGTGGACCTTAACAGTATTATGTTAAGTGAAATAAGCCAGACAAAGAAAGACAAATACATGTAGACAAATACTATATCTAAACAAAAAACAAACAACCCAACTCAAAAATACAGAGAACAGATTGCAAAGTGTCGTTGGTTTGATTCCCAGTCAGGGCACGTGCCTGGGCTACGGGTCCCCAGTAGGGGCACCTGAGAGGCAACCTTATATTGATGTTTCTCTCCCTATCTTTCTCCCTCCCCTCCCTTCTGTCTAAAAATAAATAAATAAATCTTTAAAAAAGAAAGAAGTACAAATAGGTAGTTACAGAATAATTACAGAATAGCCATGGGTATATAAAGCACAGTACAGGAAACAGAGCAGCCAAAGAACTTATATGCATGACCCATGGACATGAACAATGGTGGAGGAATGCCTGAGGGAATAGGGGGCGCTAAGTGGAGGGGGGCAAAGGGGAAAAAATCAGGACAACTATAATAGCACAATCAATAAAATATAATTTTAAAGGCCCTGGCTGGCGTAGCTCAGTGGACTGAGCGCGGGCTGAGAATCAGTGTCGCAGGTTCGATTCCCAGTCAGGGCACATGCCTGGGTTGCAGGCCATGACCCCCAGCAACTGCACATTGATGTTTCTCTTTCTCTCTCTCTATCTCCCTCCCTTCCCTCTCTAAATATAAATAAATAGGCCCAGGCTGGCGTAGCTCAGTGGATTGAGTGCGGACTGGGAACCAAACTGTCCCAGGTTCGATTCCCAGCCAGGGTACATGCTTGGGTTGCAGGCCATAACCCCCAGCAACCGCACATTGACGTTTCTCTCTCTCTCTCTGTCTATCTCCCTCCCTTCCCCTCTAAAAATAAACAAAATCTTAAAAATAATAATAAATAAATACATAAATAAAATCTTTAAAAAATATATATATATAATTATATAATTTTTAAAAAAGAAAGAAAAAAGTCAGAAAGTCTGTCAACTATAGACCATACCTGGCCTTGCATTTCCGGCCTTACATGATATGTACTTGGGTAAGGAGTCCTAGGTCGAGCAGGAGAATTCCAGTAGTTAGAATTGTAGCTAGGATATGGTGGCTGCTCCTAAAAATAAAAAAGGAAAAGAAAATGAATTCACTTATTACGAACATTCTCTTTTTTCTTAAACACTCACCCAAGGATATGTGTATTTATTTTAGAGAGAGAGAGAAACATCGACGTGAGAAACACAGCTGCCTCCCAAACGCGCCTAGGGATTAGGACGACACTCCAACCAACTAAGCCACCTGGCCAGGGCTTACTAATATTCTGGCATCACTCTGAAAATTGGATAGAGACACGTATAAGTTTCAAAAAAAAAAAAAAGGGCAATGGAATCTCACTGTAAAATCACTTGTTATTAAACTGATGCAGGTATATAATAAATCACATGCACTAGAACACGGGTGCCAAACTCATTTTCACTGGGGGCCACATCAGCCTTCAAAGGGTCGAATGTAATTTCAGGACTGTATAAATGTACAACTACTCCTTAACCGTTAAGCGAGAGCTCAGCACCGCCGCCAGGTAGAAGACAAGGTGCCAGGCTGGATAAAACAAGGTGGAGGGTCAGATTTGGCCGGTGGGTCTTGTGTTTGCCACCTGTGCCCTAGAACAAAGCAATACTGACTGTCTAGTAAAAGCCTGTTCTTATGCATTATACTAATGCCACCAGATCAAACAATATATAAAGGAATTTTACTATGTCAAGATGATTAGAAAAGCCAGAGACATTGGATTCCTTTATCTCTCCCCAATCACTAACCCAGTCATTACTAAATTTAATTCACATAACACAATCACAGTCCTTTGCTATTGTTAAGAAGGCAGTATTTACTTACCTCAACAACTTTGGAGCTTGAAAATATTACTACTAAACTTTACTTCAAATTTTCTAAACTTTTACTTCAAATTACATAAAACTTCAATACTCAGCTTCTTTGTCCAGTCGCTCTAGATTTTTCATATTCCTCTCCTCTGTTATGGTTAAGCTTTCTGCTGGCAGCCTACAGCTAACTCCCTATCAAGAATTGATATAGAATAATTCGGTAATTTTCTCCAAGGAGAAAATGTAGCTATGACATTAATTTCTACGGCTTTTTACTCCAACTCAAAAAGTTAATGCAATTATTTGCAACAAGCCAATAAACTATAAGAGACTAGATCAACTCAAAACTCTTCAGAGTCTGGCTTAATATATACATTTGTTATCCTATAAGCTGAATTACTACTGTGCTTTGAACTTTGTAGTTTAAATACAGTTTTAAGCTTAAACTGGATCTTTGAATTTTTTCCCAAAACTTTGGTTTCACAAAGAAATCAACTGGCAGTTGTAATCACTGAGTTGCATCATCTTAGCGTAACCTCACTACTTATTGATGTTATAAAACTGTTTCCAAAGCATGTAGTTATTCCATATGACAGTATACGAACTGGACAAATTACGTCTCCTTTACATAATGTATCCACAAAAAGTAGGAACCAGCAAGATTTTTTAAAAATGTTACAGGCAAACTTCCAATCCTAACTACCAAATTTCTCAAGCAGGTAAATCCCCCTGATTCATGCACTCCCTTTCTCCTCCTAGTTAAGGTGTAATAATTTGACTAATAAACTGATTTCTCTTCACCAAGAATTTGAAGCTTGAGCAAAGAGATGAAAAGACAAAGAGTTGAAGCTTACTCAACCCAGTGTTGGCAAACTAATACCTTATTCCCCAGGACCACCCTGGTTTCTGTTCTTTCCCACTGTTTCTCCGAGGTACCCCTCATTTTTACTACCTCTCCACCCTTCCATCCCTCACCCTGCCCACATCCTCCCTACCTTACCCAGTTTCCCACAACCTAATGCCTTGCCACCCTTTCCCTCAGATACACTCACCCTACAAACACCTAACCCAGTTTAAACACAATTATCCACTAACTTCACATCTGTACTTCATCTAAGTATCTGGGGGAGAAAATCCCAACAAGTTGTCTGGTTTCACTGTCAAATCACAACCATAAATCTCAGGTAGACACTCAGCACTCCCTACAGCTACTCACTAAGTTCACCACACTCTCCAAAACAACTATTCTCTTCTCCCAACTGTTCTCCAACTGTTCTCTTATCCCACCCTTCCTTTCTCAACTGACGACCTTTATGTGAGAGAGAGAGCATGTGCGCAGCAGCAATCAGACAGAAACTCCTACCAATGTACTATATCTATCACTCTTCCCAGGAACATGAATAAAGTGTCTTTGGCCCTACTAAAGGCCAATTCGTCCACACAGCTCTGGAACACCTCTTACTTCCTAACTCTTTACTCTTGCAGGTGTCTCTACTCTTTCATGAATCATCTATTTCTCCTAGTAGTGCAGATCATCTCCATTAGGACACAAACCTGCCCTCAAGACTGTCCTAAACAAATACTGTAACATATTTTTAAATTACCATAACTAAGAGTGTGACGAGTGATTGGGTGTATAAATGAACAAGATTAACAATACTTGATAATTGCTGAAGATGAGTGATAGGTGTCTGGAATTTTTATTATATTAGTCTCTTTATGTCTGTTTGAAAGTATCTATAATAAAAAGTTAAAAAGCCAAACTGTAGGGCAGAGATTGAAAGTAGACTTCCCTTAAATATACCATTTTTATACATTTGACTTTATAACAATTGTAAATATTCTACATAATTATAAAAGACAATGAAATGATTTTAAATCCCTAAAAGCAAAACAAAAATATTAAAAGAAACTATTTCAAGTGAATATAAAACACCAGAATTTGATTGACATCCCTAACAGGGATATACATACTTAATGATTACGCTGTGTGGCTGGTAATCAGTATTTTCATAGTGAGAGATAAGAGATATAAGAATGACATTTTACATTTTTAATCCTTAATTTGAACTAAATATTTCATCAGTAGGATTTCAAACTCTATTTTTTAAGACTAACAAGTTGATAAACACACACACACACACACACACATAAATAATCCAATTTCCAAATAATCCAAGTAAGTCTTAAAATAGTTTTCTGAATGGATATACCTAGTGATATATATCCTAAAGGCAAAAAGCATGCAAAGAATATTAAACTTTACAGAGAACATTATTAGTAATAATATTAGCACTTTAATTTTTAAACTGTTTTGTGTGCATTGTAGAACCGAAGAAATAAATAAATAGAGCAGTTATTGGAAACTAGTATTTTCACACGGAAAAGGGAAGATAATATATGGAGAAAGATGAGGAAGTACCATGTACGGTGCATTTGAAGTCTAAGTATAAACTAGTATGCTTTAAAAATGTAATGTAAACTTTTATGTAAAAGGTAGGTAAAAGTGACAGTGTGCTGGTTCCAAACAAAGGATTTAAGAGTTAGTACAGCCCTGACTGGTAAGGCTCAGTGGGCTGGGCACTGTTCTGCAAGGCGAAAGGTCGAAGATCTTATTCCTCTTCAGGCACATGCCTCGGTTGCAGATTTGGTCTCAGGGCGTGTTCGAGACACAACCTGTCGATGTTTCTCTTTCACGTTGTTTCTCTCCTCTCTTTCTCCCTCCCTTTCCCTCTCTAAAAAAATAAATAAATAAAATCTTTTAAAAAAGAATATATTGTACCCTTTAGCTATACCCTCATATCTCCCCATTGCCCCAGCCCTACACCACTACTTACTTTCTGCCTCTCTAGATTTACCTATTCTGCATATTTCATATAAATAGAATCATAGAATATGTGATATCTTGTGACTGGCTTCTTTCACTTAACAATGTTTTTGAGGTTCAACTATGTTGTATCATGTATCAGTACTTCATTCTTTTTGTGGCCAAATAATATTCCACTGTATACAAACACCACATTTTGCTTATCCATTCATCGGTTGTTGGACATTTGGACTGTTGCCACTTTTTGGATAATACTGCTATAAACAGTCATTAATAATTTTTTATGTGGACATATGCTTTCAGTTCTCTCGGATATATACCTAGACATGGAATTGCAGAGTCACGTGGTAACTGTTTAACAACTTGAGGAACTGTAAAACTTTTCCAAAGCAGCTTCACCACTTAACATTCCCATCAGCAACATATAAGGGTTCCAATTTCTCCACATCCTTACCAATACTTGTTTTTTTCTGTGTGTTTTTTTTTATAACCATCCTATTGAGTGTGAACTGATATCTCATTATGGTTTATATGGTTATGGATCTGCATATCCCTAGTTGGGATTTGCATATAGTTGGGTTCCCCCTCCCCGACCTTCCAGGCTTAAATCACTTCATTTTTCTTGTAAAAAATAACGTGGTAGCCACAGCTGTAGCCTGGATCCTCCACACAGAAGCTCTGATGTGGGTCTTTACAAGATGGTCAGTGAATTCCTGATAGGGAGACCTGGTGAACAGTCTCTTTCCTCAGACCAGGGGTGAGATAGCTGTAGCTCTTAGAGATGGCATCAAAAGTGGCCTTGGCAAAGTTGTCCAAGGTGGCAGTGCACCCCCTGGCCGAGGTGCAGCAGTTGTCAGTACCAGCCATCAGCAACAGTTTCTTGGGCCACAAAGGCTGCAACAACGCCAGTGCCACTGGGGGTGGGGATGAGGCACACCAGCAGAGAGCCACAGCGCCCAGTCACCTTGCAAGGAACAGTGTGGGGCTTGCCTATCTTGTTCCCCCAGTAGCCTCACCACACAGGGACAATTGAGAGCTTGCCCAGGATGATGGCCCCATGGATGGCAGTGGCTACTTCCTACGAGCACTTAGCACCCAGACCAAGATGTCCATTGTAGTACCCAATGGCAACAAATGCCTCAAACCAGGTCTTCTGGACAGCACATGTCTGCTTTTGCACAGGTGTAATCTTCAAAACTTTGTCCTTGCGGGATGCTCCCAAGAAAAAGTCAATGATCTCAGATTCCTTGATGGGCAGAGAGAAGAGAGAAATCTCCTCCAGGGACTTGATCTTCATGTCCTTGACCAGGCGGCCCAGCTTGGTGATAGGTATCCACACCTTATGGTTAAATTTACAAAGTGACTTACTAACATGCCTCCAAAAAATAACCCCCGCCCTAAGAAATCTAA